GTCTGAGCAGCCCCAGGTGAGCCCCCGTGGGTCTGAGCAGCCCCAGGTGAGCCCCCGTGGGTCTGAGCAGTGCAGGTGAGCCCCCTGTGTGTCTGAGCAGTGCAGGTGAGCCCCTGTGGGTCTGAGCAGTGCAGGTGAGCCCCCTGTGTGTGTGTGTGTGTGCAGTGCAGGTGAGCCCCTGTGTGTCTGAGCAGTGCAGGTGAGCCCCTGTGTGTCTGAGCAGCCCCAGGTGAGCCCCCTGTGTGTCTGAGCAGCCCCAGGTGAGCCCCTGTGGGTCTGAGCAGTGCAGGTGAGTCCCCGTGTGTCTGAGCAGCCCCAGGTGAGCCCCTGTGGGTCTGAGCAGCCCCAGGTGAGCCCCTGTGTGTCTGAGCAGTGCAGGTGAGCCCCTGTGTGTCTGAGCAGTGCAGGTGAGCCCCTGTGGGTCTGAGCAGCCCCAGGTGAGCCCCTGTGTGTCTCTCTGGCAGGTGGTGGATGAGCTGGAGGCCCGGATGAGCGAGGGAGGGGTGATTGTGGATTACCACGGCTGTGACTTCTTCCCCGAGCGCTGGTTCCACATCGTGTTCGTGCTGCGCACAGACAACTCCTGTCTGTACCAGCGGCTGGAGAGCAGGTGTGCCCCGGGAATTCCCCCAAAATCTCCTCCTGAGCCTCGCTCTGCACCTCACGCTGTCTCTCGTGCTCCTTCTCCAGGGGCTACACGGGCAAGAAGCTGCAGGACAACATTCAGTGCGAAATTTTTCAGACTCTGTATGAGGAAGCTGTGCTGTCGTACAAAAAGGAAATTGTACACCAGCTACCCAGCAACACCCCAGAGGACCTGGAGAGAAATTTGGATCAGATTATGCAATGGATTGAGCAGTGGATGAAGGACAACAACTGACTGCTGGTGAAACAGTAACTGCTGGATCTCTGCTTGGGAGGGAGGCAGGGAGTAGTAAATGATATTCATAATTCCTGTGTTGTAAATGAACATGAACTTTGCTGTACCTGGCTGGGAAGTAGAAGGAGTTTCAGAGTAGCCAGGTTGTGAGGATTTGTAACACACCCCAGAGGCAACAGAACTGAAACAAGTGTCTGCAAGGATAAAAATGAGGCGGCTGTCCTGAGCAGCAGGAGCTGTGCTCCATAACTGAGAATTCTTTAGACCAAACCATAAATTCCCTGTGAGAAAACTGTAGAAAAAAAACCATGGCAGTTGAGGCACTTTTGATTTCCAGAGTCTGGAACAGTGTCCTGGAAAGGAGTTGGTTTGATGCTGAGCTGTGGGACTAAAACCTGCTGTGCTCCACAGTGGCCTTGGGCACGTGAGGATAATGCAGAGTGAGAGGATTGGAACAGGGTGAGGTGGGTCCTTTGCTTTGGAGGGAAAAGAGGTGATGTGAGAGTTATTTTTAAGTGATTGCATGTAACTTTGGAGATTGCTTAATGTGTAAGGAAACACGGGCTGTGTGAGGACTGGTCTGGGGTGCTGAACAATAAAGTTTTTGCTTTTTTTCTGTGTTGCCCATCTGCTGTCCCCGTCACGGATGCACACATCAGAGCAGGATTACCCAGAATATGCACCCCTTGTGAGGACAGACCTGCAGGATCCGAGTGTGCTGCGGGTGGAGCAGGGATCTTTCGTGGCTGCTGCAAGAGCTGGGGCCCCAGGGGCAGGGCTGCACCAGGGAGAGGAAACTTTCCTCAAGAAATCCCCTGCAAGGAAAGCCTTGTGACGGCTTCTGTAGGAAGTGCTTGCTTATAAACCCTTCAGCTGCATGAGTTTGGGTAGCAAAACAACTTCTTTGCAAAATGCTGTCATGAGGAGTGTCGTTAGATATTTACAGCTTTATTTTTTATTCCAAATTTGCTATTGGGTTTTTTTTTTGGTGACACTTGCAGAGCGATGCTGTAACAGAAATGTGGTTGAAACATAAACTTTAAGGAATTTACAGATTTTAGAAGAGCTAAGATTTTAGTTAGAGATAAGCCTTACTAGAGTTAATTAAAATAAATGAGTAGACCTTGATGAAGTTAGGAGTTAACTAATAATTGATTGCTTGTCAGCACAATGTTAAGTTGGGTTGATAATGAAGAATACACAAACTGACAAAGAGCTTTTAGGAACATAAGACAATTGTGGCCTCCTCTGTTCTGAAATCAACTGAAGACAAGGAATGGGAATTCTACCAAGAGTTCATTTGTCAGATTGGCATTGAAAAGGTAGAACGAGGAAGACTTCATTGACTTCCTCATTTTGGGACCCCTCCCCATGGAAGGGACACCGACCCATTTCAAGGGACAAACCATGCATGCTGAATGGCTTTTGGAATTATTAGCATAGCAGGGAATGGGATGTACCAAAATGATGAATATGTGTTTGCATTTTGGGTGTTCAGTACTTGTATGGATAACAGGGCTCTGTAATCACCTGGAAGGCATAGTGTGGATTTGGGAACAATCCCACACACAGTAAACACACAGTTTCTGACTTTAAACTGTTAGAGAGTTTCTGTCCGTCACAGCTGAATATTGGTATTAAATCAATAGCCATATTTCTGTAATAATTCATTATGACATTATAAACCAAAATGGTGAAAAATAACATGTTTCCTGGAAGAATTGGGCCCAGGCATTGTGGCAGCTGGGGCAGAGGTTGGCTGGGAGCTGACAGCAGGTGGGGGTGATGTGCAGGTGTCAGGACAGCCCCAGTGTGAAAAACACCAATCACTTGGTTTTTAAAGTTTTAAAAGTTCAGTAATAATAATGAAATGGTTATAAAAATAGTAATACGATTAGAGCAATAAAATTTACAGTTAGGACAACTACAAGACAATAAAAAGCAAAGAAATACGGATGTCCGGATGCTCTCAGACACCAAGTCACAAAAAGCATCTCTTGTGAACAAAGGAATAACCTTAAAAGCAACAGTCTGTTGCATATTCATATATGTCATACATGATGCATAAATTCCTTGCAAATTAAGAACTTTTCTGTTTTTTGTCAATTCTTTCCCCTTAATCTTGGTGGTTCCACAAAGACGGAGAGAAGGTGGAAGAATGTTTGTTTTTTCTGATGAGGAGGCTGTAATTCTTCATGGGCCCCAAGTCACTGACACCTCTGCGTGATGATTATCTCATTTCTTGCTTGAGCTGTAAAATAATCCTACATTGCAGATAACATTATGTTGTAACCTGAAACTGTATTTAACACACTACTTAAGTAATACAGCATAACTTTCTAACGCCACGCATGTAATATTCATTGTAACATTTGCGAAAAGCCACTCATAAAACGTGCATTTTTCACACCCAGTTCGTGGGAACAGCGGAGGGACCACGCTGGGCGCCTCAGGCCGTGCTGGCTGTCGGGTGCGGCTGCGATGAGCGCCGGTAGCCGCAGGAATGAGCACGCCCGTCCCTCCGAGCAGCCCGCGGGCGCTCCGGGGCCGCCCCGGGGCGGGACCGCTCCGCCGCCGCGGGCGCGCAGGTGGGTCGGGGCGCGGGCGGGCGGGGTGTCCGCGCAGGTATCCCCCGAGGGTGTCCCCCCGGGGGTGTCCCCGCAGGTATCCCCCGGGGGTGTCCCCCTCGGGGGTGTCTGCACAGGTATCCCCCTCGGGGGTGTCCCCGCAGGTATCCCCGGAGGGTGTCCCCCTCGGGGGTGTCCCCTCCGGGGTGTCCGCGCAGGTATCCCCCGGGGGTGTCCCCCTCGGGGGTGTCCCCGCAGGTGTCCCCCCGTGGGTGTCCCCGCAGGTGTCCCCCCGAGGGTGTCCCCCCGGGGGTGTCCCCGCAGGTGTCCCCTCGGGGGTGTCCCCGCAGGTGTCCCCCCGGGGGTGTCCCCGCAGGTGTCCCCGCAGGTGTCCCCTCGGGGGTGTCCCCGCAGGTATCCCCCGGGGCTGTCCCCCCGGGGGTGTCCCCTCGGGGGTGTCCCCAGGCTGCTCCCCGGGCCGGGGTCCCCATTTCGGCCGCCCCGGCTGCCGCAGCCTCGCGTTTCCCGTTCGGGGCTCGTCCTGCTGCGCTGGACGCGGAGCTTTCCGTTCTTCCAGATAAAATCCTCCTGGCGGGAGGCGCTGTTCGCCGCCCTCGCTCAGGGAAAAAACCCCGAACCAACCGAAAACCCGGAAAAAACAAGAGGAGAAGATGGAGGAAGCAGAAGAGGATGACATGACGTGTGGGGACTTGGGAAACGGACTTGGGAGAAGACCGGGAGGCGTTTATGAAGGGGAAAACCTACAGAATTCCTATTCAGTTAGATCTAGGAAGGGATCTGGGAAGAGTTGCAGTTCCCCCTTGTCAGCAAAGGTAGCAGAAGAAAGCGATGCTGCAGCTCTTCCTGCTCCAAAACGAAACAGCTTTTACGATGGATCTCTCAAAAAACCTGCCTCTAGTTCCACACGGCAGAGTAGCTGTGGTAAGAGCAATTTGGAAGTTGATTATTCACCATACGAAAAGTTGTTAGTGGAAGTGAGCCGCTCAGCTGCCACACAAGGTGTCATCCAGTTTAATTCAAACCGCTTGCCAAAATTCCCTGGAGGGCTGGGATGCTCCACCTTCCTCCAGAGCGTGAGCATCAGAGTCGCTGCTCATTCTTCGTGTGAAATGTCCCGTTTTAAGGTGTTTCCTTCTGCATTTGAAAACGACGTTTCTCAGAGACCATCCTGTGGTGGGCGTACCTACATAGGTTCGGCTGTGTCTGAAATTGAGTGGCATTGCTTGGATTCCTGATTTAAGTCAGTTAAAATCTTCCTAAAGACAGTACCTAAAGCTAAATATTTGTAGCTAAATATTCAAAATCTTATTTGCTCTTTAGTTGAAATTAGTGAATTGGCTTACATTAGGGGTTAAGAAGTAAGTTTTACAACTTGCATTAGTATTAATCTAACTTTTTTTGTGAAGCCAATGCTGCTGTGAAAGTAATAAAATGTGGGCAGTGCTGTTCATTATGGTTCGGCTGCTTTCCTGTCATTTTTTAATATTTTGACTGAGGTATTTCTGTGTAACTTGGTTGTATTTCTCCTTTAAACAATTCCCTATTATCCTTTCCACAATAAGCTATCTCTGTCTCCTGAAAATTGCCCCTACTTCTAAGTACCATCAGCTGTTGTTTTAAATGTGGATGTTGAAAAGTTGCAATCAGAAAATAATCTAAACAATTATTTTTTAAAAATCAATATGGCAATTTTGTTGGCTTTATTTTAAATGAAGTTATAAAATGTTTGCCTTTATATCTCTTTAAAATACATATTTTCCTTCTATTTCACTTTTTTAACTATGAAGCAACGTGTTTTGAGCTTGTATTGATGTATTTCTTAAATATGTTTATTAGCTCCACAAGAAAAAAAGCCCACAACACAAAGATGAAAATTCACCTTTGTATGTTAACTCTTTTCAGGGTAAAAGCCTCACTTTTTTTCTTCCATTAAATGTTACAGTGTCTCATCATTTAATATCCTCCATTGATCCTACAGAATCTAATACTGAAGTGTCAAATGAAGAACTAAGGCATCAACTCCGGGAAGCTCTGGAGGTTGGTAACAGTGCCCAGGAACTGCTCTCCAAATCTGCATTTCCCTTCCATGTAGCACGAGGATTTTGGCATGCTGAGAGACTTGGGTGCACGGGGGTTCTTGGAAAAACATAAATTAAATGTTACATCAGGAAATCTTAGTATGAGGTGTACCTTATATTCTGGGGGTTTGTCTGTTTGTGGGGTTTTTTGAAGGGGTAGAGAAAATATTTTTAAAGATGCAGAGATTATTGAAGATTGTTGTACTTTTATAACAGATGTTTTATTAGGCTTTGGGGCTTGAAAGTCTGTAGTGTAAACAATCTTTGGATTTTTAGTCTGTGTGTTTGTTGAAAGGTAGCTATCAGTACATTTTGATTTTAGTGTGGTTAAATGTGTTGAGGTGTTGGCATCACAGCCAGCAGATTCAGCTGTAAAAATACACCTTCCATCTGCACTGTGTTCTTTAACCTCAGGTGAGCCCATGAAAAGACATCATGCAGGTAAAAGAGAGGTTTGTTTTTTGAGGAGCGGAAGTTTACACTGGTTTTACAGCCGAGTCTTACCAGGATCACCTTGGCTTTTATTCAGTGTACCCACTTTGTTTTACTTCAGGAACTTGAAAATTTGAAAGTTGAGCTCGAAGCGTCTCGAAGACAGCTTGAAGGAAAAGATGAAGCCCTGAGGATCCTGCAGAGCATGGTAGGAGCTGTTCAGAAATCTCTTGGTGGGAACAAGGAAAGCGAAGGAAATCTTCTGCGACTCCTCGTCAAAACCTCAGCAACCTTAAGGCCTTCCCAGGGCTGCAGTTTAAATAATTGAGTCTGCAGGTGTTACAGACTCACCCCTACCATTTACTGGAACTAGTGTGTTATTTAAGGAGACTTTAGTGTCGTAGCAATTCTTATAATTTTATCTTTGACAATCCTTGAGGATTTATCTACTAAAGATAAAATTACGTTTTTTTCCCAGTCCCTTATATTGAAGATTTAGGCAGTGCTTGGAATCCTGCTGCAAA